GGACACTGCTGCAGTGCCCACACCATGCTGCGCACTGGTCTCTGCCCGCCTTAGGCCCCACTCGCGTGTCACCACAGCACCATTGGCACCCGTCGCCTGTTTCCTTTCTCCCGGATGGGCACTGGGAGAGGGGCACTGGTACGTGGCGAGGACAGCGGCGCAGGAAGGGGCATCTTCACTGTCCTCAGGCTGCCCCTCTGGCAATAATGACGCTGCCAAAGAGGGCAGAGCAGAAGCGGCTTCGTGGGCGCRGGGGCAACCCCAGCAGCCCAGCTCGAGCGCAGGGTAGCAGCACGGGTACTGACCGCAGGGACGTGCGGGTAATGGGATGCAGGGCTTAAACAGGAAAACCAGCCGGAGCTGTAATTGAAAGTCGTGTTGCAAAGCTGGTTTATGTATTTTCAGAGGGAGTTCTTGTCTGTGCAGAGAATCTCTTGCAAAGTGGTGGTCAGTGGCTCGCGCTGGAGGCCGCGTGGCAGGGGCAGGTTCAAGTGCACTGGTTTCACACGCGGCTCCTGTGAGGGCAAATTCCCTGTGCCCCTGCCCGCCGTGAGGGTGCTCCTTACCCCGCTGGGATTTCTGCTCTTTGCAGCAGTTCCCCTGGGCGCATGGTGACAACCGGTGCAAGACACTAACCTTTTTCTGTCAGTTATAAAATGTGTCGGCCGCCCGGCGATCTGGAGAGCTTGGGCTAGCAGCGAGGGGCCGTGATCGGTGAGCACCACGGGATCGGCCGCGGTGCCGCGCGCTCGCAGCGCCCACCGCCTGCGCCGCCGCGCCGGGAGTAAGCGGATTAAATCCCGCACGTGCTTGACTTGGTCTTGAAATAAGGACGCCGCTTTTGCTCCGAGAAAAGGCGGGTTATTACATGCTTGAGCAGGGATCATGCGGATTACTGGCGATTGCTCTAACAGGATTTGGYGGATTTAGGAGGGGGCGGGAACGGCCCCGCAGCCCTGGGGAGCTTCCAGCACCGCTGGGCTCTGCGCGGCTGCGAGGCCGGGCTGGGAACGGCCRCGGGCTCCTGCCCTGCCCTGTGCTGTAACCTGCACTGCAACCGCCCGCCTTGGGCTGCGCATCCGTGCAGKGCCGGGCACAGGTATGGTGCACGTGGGGAAACCAGGAATGGCAACGCCGGGAGACCTAGCGGGGCAGCCTGCACCTCCTCATCCTYGTGCATGCGCCCACCGCCCCGGGCTGAGAGGTGGCGTGTGGGCCAGGACCCACCATGAGGGCTGCAAGTGCTTGTGAGGGCGTGTGGGCAGCGCCATGTGTGTCTGCGCGCAGGGCAGGGYGGCAGCTCTCCCTCGGGCTGCTGCACTGTGGCTTCCTCGGCTGCTGTTGGGGGGCAGCAGTGCAGCGGGGCCTGGGGAGCTGCCTGCCTGCAGCCACCGAGCCCAGGGCGCTGCGTCACGGCCGTGCCGCGCGGTGCTGCGCGGCGCTGTGCTGTGCCAGGCTGCAGTGTGCTGTGTAACATGGCACCGTGCTGTGCCATGCTGTGCCGCATTGTGCTGCGCTGCACCATGCTGTGCCGTGCTGCAGTGTGCCGTGTAGCATGGCACCGTGCTGTGCTGCATTGCGCTGCACTGTGCCGTGCTGTGCCATGCTGCAGTGCGCTGTGTAACATGGCACCGTGCTGTGCTGTGCTGCATTGCGCTGCACCGTGCCGTGCTGTGCCATGCTGCAGTGTGCCATGTAGCATGGCACCATGCTGTGCCATGCTGTGCTGCATTGCGCTGCACCGTGCCGTGCTGTGCCGTGCTGCAGTGTGCCGTGCTGCAGTGCACTATGCCGCATTGTGCTGGGTGGCACCGTGCTGTGCCGCATTGCGCTGCACCGCAGCACGCTGTGCCATGCTACAGTGCACCGTGCTGTGCCGCCTTGCGCTGCAGAGTGCCATGCTGTGCTGCAGTGCACCATGCTGCACTGTTCTGTGCCGCACCATGCTGTTCTGTGCCATGCTGCAGTGCACTGTGTTGCACCGCACTGTGCTGTGTCACGCTGCGCTGCACCGTGCTGCACCATGCCAAGCTGTGCTGTGACACAGTGCACTGCAGTGCACCACGTCATGCTGAGCTGTGCTGCACCACACTGCAGTGTGTCATGCTGAGATGCACTGAGCTGCGCCGCGCTGCACCGTGCCATTCTGCACCGTGCCATCCTGTGCCCTCAGGAGCAGGATGGAGACCTGGAGGCCCTGTGGCAGCAGCAGCTCCGTGCATTACTGCAGCACTTTAAAGCACCAGCACCCGTGTCCCCAGAGGGACAAGGAGGGAAGAAGCCATGTGGGAAGAAGCTAGCTGCGTTTGGCCCAGGCGTGGCCTGGCCGGCGGCTGCCACCTGCGAGGCACACGTGGTCCTAGCAGCACAGCCCCGCGGCACCAGGGGACTGCATTGGTGATGGGTGCAAGCTCCGGCACGGCACRGGGCACTGCAGCAGGGTGCAGAATGGCACAGCACAGTACAGCGCAGCTTGACGTGGCACGGTACAGCACAGTGCAGCACTGTGCCTGTCTCCCATAGAGCCACGACCAGGCCGGGGGCTTTGGCAGGGAAGAGGGAAGCGTGTCCCCTCTGCGCGGTGCCCAGGCCGCTCCGCGTGGCACCCACCCGAGCGCCCTCCTTTCGCCAGGCGGGCAGGGCTTGCGCAGCGTGAGCACGTCCCCGCGGGCACCGCGTGGCGTGACCAGCGGGCTGGCCGGGCTGGCCTGGTGGGTGAAGCCGGGGCGCTGCGCGGCGTGGAGGCCGTGGGCCTGCTGYGGAGGCCTTGGTTTCGCTGTACCGGCCATGGTCCCACCCCAGCACCCAACCGCTGGCCGCTTCCTAKCTGGCCTTGCTAGTAGGTGCAGCAGGAGCCGCCGTGCGCAGCGTCACTGGGCTCGGGAAACTTTATATATTCTTATTTTTAGAAGGTGGCCTTTTAGCAATCAGGGGATTATGTTCCCCGTTTGGAGCGGGTGCTGTTAACTCGTGGAGATTCCTTGTTGGGCCCGTGGTAGCGGGTGAGGCACTAGGGTGCAGCAGCCCCTTGAGGGTACCAGCAACCCCTCGCTGGTGGCTGCAGTGCCACCGAGGGCAGGTCAGTCCCGCCGTGCTGGCAGCACCAAGGATGTGGCTGCTGTGTGCAGGAGGACGGGCTCAACCGGAGCGCAGGGCCGGAGCAGGATCCGGAGCAGGATCCGGATCAGGAGCAGCGCTGCTGCCCTCGCGCCTTCCCCAGCCTGTTGCCAAGCGACAGGTTTTAATTGGAGGACTAATTTTGCTGCCGGCCGTTCTCCTCGAGCAGCAAGCGCGGTGCCGAGGCCGGCGCGATGCAGCGGTGCAGGCGGGCGCCCGCGCGCAGCCACAGCCCCGGCGCGGCGGCGGCTCGGCCGCGTCTGCAGGCGCTGCGGCCCCGTGCGCCCCTGTAGGACTGCGAGGCAGGGCTTGGGGAGGGCTCTGCAGAGCAGGGGCAGCAGCCGCGAGCTGCGCGGCTTGGGTCCTGCCAGCTTCCCCAGGGCTGTTACGGAGCCGCTGCCCGACTTAGCGCAGCCCCTTCCCCATCCCGCTTTCCAGCGGCCGGCTCRGCCCGCAGGCCCATTCCCCTTGGGCAGGCTTGGATGGGCACCGAGCTGCAGAGGGATAAGCAAGACTGGTCCTAGCCAAAGGAGWCTGTCCTGCCTGGGAAAACCTGTCAGGGTCTCGTGGTTCGGACAGGCTGAAATACAGAGCCTGGAGGAGGCCTCTCCTGCAGACCTGGAGTCCCGATGCACGGTGTCCTTGGGATGCAGAGCCGTGAACGGTGCCCTCGGGATGCAGAGCGGGCAGCTGTGAGCGATGGGCAGGCCAGGAGCCGCCCCGCGGGAGCTCCCTGCTCCCCCAGGCCCAGCCGGGGCAGCTCGTCAGGTCCCTCTTGGCTGATCCCTGGGATAAGCGGAGGGCTGCGTGCGCTGCGCGGGGCCGGCCGAGGCTCTTCCCGTTCCGCGTGTGCGAGGGAGTGCGGCCAGCCGGGCGGGCAGCGGGAGGTGCCAGGGCCGCCGCGTGTGGGGCCTGGCCGAGGCAGCCGCTCCGCGCCCAGCGGCGCCTGCCTCCCCCGAGCCCCTCGTGCCTCGTCCCTGCGCCTGCCGCGTTCACCTCCATCGGGAACAAACGGGAAAGTACCRGCTTGGGGAGCCTCTTCTTCCCAGCTTCCTCATGCTCAACTTCTCTATTATTGTTRTTGTTGTTGTTGTTGCTATTATTGTTATTGTTATTATTATCCCTTTGGGGGAGGGAGGGCTGCGGTGTCCTGCATGGACAGAGGAGCTCGCGCGGCACCCGCCGCCCGCACACACTGATGCAGCTCTCGCTTCTCTCCCGCAGGGCCGGTGTTCACGGGAAAACTGCAAATACCTTCACCCGCCGCCGCACTTAAAAACGCAGCTGGAGATCAATGGGCGCAATAACCTGATCCAGCAGAAGAACATGGCCATGCTGGCCCAGCAGATGCAGCTCGCCAACGCCATGATGCCCGGCGCGCCGCTGCAGCCCGTGGTAGGTGCGCGTCGCCCCGCGCCGGCCGCGTGTCCCGCCGGCAGCCGCCGGTCAGCAGGGCTGCGGGGAGCGGTAGAGGCAAGGGGAGGCCTGGAGGGATCTGCACGTTCACTTTGGTGCCAGTTCGCACAGCATTAGCACATAGCACCCCTTGTTTCCTCTCTTCTCATCTTATTGTCTCTCTTCTGAAAATAAGAAGGTTTTGGTGTGAGTGTGTGAGGAGGGCAGGGAGCTGGAGCTGTGTGAGCACAGGGACCCCCAGCCCTGACCGCCCTGGCGGGGCGGTGCAGGAGCCCCAAGCAGTGTCCGAGCAGCCTTGCTGTTTCAGCATCTCGGGATTGTGTGTACGTGGCCACGGTTGTATTTCAGTTTCAGGATTTGGGTATGGTGATACCAAAATCACAAATAAGCAAATGAACAAACAAATTCATATTTGGGGCTGCAAAAAAAAAAAAAAAAAAAAAAAAAAAAAAAAAAAAAACGCAGAAGACACAATGAAAACTGTTGCTTGAAATGGTGTTCCCCAGAAGCTGTGTGTGTTTGTGCCGTGAGCTATAAGCTCAGCTCTCTGGCATATACACATCAGGGCACAAAGAGACACCAGCCGTTCGGGAACAGATAAAAATAAATATTTTAATGCAGTGCTTTAGGTTAACCTTGCTGTTTAATACAAAGAGAGCCTAGTGTGACGGTAGCCYGCAGGCCGTTCGGTGAGGTTGTGCTGTGTGCCGGGGAGCAGGGCGGGCGCCGGGCAGGCTGTGCACGTAGACGCCGCGGGCGCCGTCCCGGGGCTGGTGCCTCCAGCGCCACGTGCTTGTGGCGGGCGCCCTCGCGGGGTTGCACCCCSAGTTGTGCATCGCCCTGGAGCGGGCGTCGTGCGGGGTGCCCAGGGCAGAGCTGCAGCTCAGCCTGCCTGACAGCGCTGCCGTTTGGGTTGTGCTCTCTGCAAATCAATGCCATGTGCTTCAAGAAGAGCAGAGCCCTCTAACCAAACGAGAGGCTCTAAYTTAGCAAGAAAAACGGCAGGGCGCATCCGTTCGTGCTGCTGGGCAGCTTGCACCGTTCCTCGGGTGCTTTGGGCGAGCACCGTTACCTCCCTCTGCCCATCCAGCCGCATCTGGAGACACTGAAAGCTCCGCGCAGAGAACGAGCAGGCTGAAATGAGCTGTTTTTTCCAGAAAAGCTCTTTTTTCAGGGATTTCTTCAGGGATTTTTTCGGGGATATCAGAGGAGGGTGACATTGGCAGTGCAGGTCTTGCCTTCTGTTGTGGCCTTAGGTACAGCATGTGCCCCTGGGATGACATAGTCTGCAGCGCCCCGTGCATCCCCAGCAAGTCATTTCTCCTGCTCGTGCACCTTTGCAGCGCACTGCAGATTGCCCCGGAGTTTCAGGGTAGTYTGAAGTTGCTCTCATGAAATATGCTGTTATTTTGCAGTGGTCTAAAGGCTGCAGGGCAGGTTATTTATAGCAGTGCATGATGATCTGGGTGGAAAATAAACAGGACRCTCTGTTACTTATTCCACCATGGGGATATTGGGCTGAAACCAACCACTGATATCTGCAAAGCTGCGCCCCAACAGGCCTGTTCACAGCTCAGCTTTTAATGTAGCGATTACATAGGTGATGTCCCAGTCCTGACAGCTGCAGGAGATATTTCCTTGGTGTTGTTTCTCCAGTTTATTCACAGCCAAACGTGCCTGTTTCTTTTCCCCGGCGTTGTGGGGCTGCCCCTTTCGTGTGGCTCCCGYCCAGGCCCCGTGTTTCGGTGCAGGGCTCAGCACAGCCCTGCTCCCCGGCGCCCAGCAGGGACGCGGAGACGTGCGGGCCCGCACGCCGCCTGGCTTGGGGAGATAGGAGGGACACGGAGGCACGGGGCTGCGTTCAAGGGAGCGTCGCTTCTCTCTGCAAATGCCTGTGGGAGAAGGAGCCTCGGGGCGGGCCGCGGCACGGGGAGAGCCGCTGGGGCAGCGCTCCTCGCGCGCCGCCAGCCCGGCCAGGAAACCCGCTTTACTGCAGGGCAGCAGCGCCCGATCGCTCCTGCAGAAGCTGTTTGGTCTCCTGGAGCCGCTTATCTGCACAGCACGCAATAGCCAGCAAGGGCAGCCGCCTGCTTTGGTTACTGCCTGTTTCTTTTTTTAAAACAAACAAACAGAAAGCCCAGCATTTGCATAGTGTCTTGTCTCCCTCTCTGGCTTAATGTTTTAGTCTAAATAAAGCTTATCACTCGCGCTGTGTGTTTTCTGCGTATCTGCACGGACAGCCTGCTTTATTTTACAAAAATAAATGATTGCCGCTATCGTGCTCTGAGCCCGCTGCTGAGCTGAGCTGGTGTGGCCCCTGAGCCGCGGTGCAAAGTGCTGCTCTCGGTGCCGGGGGACCGCGGGTGGCCGTCCCGGCGCTCCCGCTTGGAAGCGGTGCCCGTTGGCAGCGCGGTGCCCTGCCAAGCCCGCCCGGCACCGCCGCGGGAGCACACGCGCCGCAATGTTGTGTTGTTGACACTGTGAATAGCAATATATATTAAAGCTTCTTTCTTCTTTTCTCTCCTTGCAGCCAATGTTTTCAGTTGCACCAAGCTTAGCCACCAATGCATCAGCTGCCTTTAATCCCTACCTGGGGCCTGTCTCCCCAGGCTTGGTCCCAGCAGAGATCCTGCCCACGGCGCCCATGCTGGTTGCAGGGAACCCCGGCGTCCCGGTTCCTGCTGCCGCCGCCGCCGCTGCCCAAAAGCTAATGCGGACAGACAGACTGGAGGTAGGAACTCCTATACGTAATCCACTGTCACAAGCAGTGTCATTTATCATGTCTCCTAATCATAAAATCTTTTTCTTGCAAACARAGAGTAAGTAAGTGTTGACTGAGCTGCTAACGTCACGTCTTGGTGTAGAGGTTAAGGCCAGAAAGCAAGTGAAGGAGCAAGCTGCAGGTGAATGAATTCTTGTAGGTGATCTGGTCACCTGCTGTGGAAAGAGGTGGGAAGGTTGAGGCCTTGTAGGTACAGCTAGGGCAGCAGCGAGAGCGCCCGAGGCGGTGTGAAGGTGTGGGAGGCCCAGGTTTGACAGGGTGCAGCGCTTCGCTGCCTGCATCGCAGCTCATCCGCGGTTTTGTCCTGTTTTGGGGCAGGGCACGTGGTGCTAGCGCGTCCTCACACGCCTCCTGGTCACCACTCACTGGCCTCTGCAGAGCCCGCACGGACGCTCCCCGCTCCAGCYGCTGCTCTCCGGCACCCTCAGCCTCCCTTATCCGCAGTGCGTGGGGGTGTTTTCAGCGCGTTATCACACCGGGCGGCGTGCACTGAGCGGCGGCAGCGCGTGCCGAGGGGCAGCGTGTGCTGTGTGTGGCCAGGCCGGTGCCGCGTCAGCGCTGCCGCCGCAGGGGCAGCGTCTGGAGGCTCCCGGCAGCCCCTTCCCAACGCCGTCCCTGCATTCCCACTGCGCTGCGCCTCAGCAGGCCCCGCGGTGGCCAGTGCTGCCGCCGCCCGGGGCCGCAYGGCGCAGCAGCAGCACCGCTGTAGCCGTGGGTGCCGGGGCCCTGAGCTGCCTGCTGACAGTGTCGCGCTCGAGGGTTTGTGCTGCGAATCAGTGGTGCTGCTTTTGGATCTGGTTCCTGCGTCCGCAGGGAACCAGATGGGGGGAGGGAAGATGAGCTCTGTTCTAAAATGCAGTCGGTCTAGCTGTGATGCCTCTCTCTGCCTGTGCATCTGCGCCGATAGGAGCTCTGTCTCCTTCCAAAGGAAGCTGGTCGTTTTGCCCCTGACTGACAAGCTGCGGCTTGGAAAGCTGTGAGCGAGAAGTGGCGGCGTCACCTGGCACGGGGGCTTCGCGGGGCGGCTATTCCGGGAGCTTGCCTCACCCGGCTCCCCTTTCGCAGGTCACATCACGTCCCTTCTGGAGCTGTTTGCTCTGAGCACAGGGCTCCCTCAACACGCACGTGTCTCTGGGGAGCCGTGCGGCCGCCGGCTGAGGATCACTCACGGATGGGTCCCTTGGGTGGGTCCCTCCCTGCCAGAGGTGGTTTAAAAACACCGACACCGAGCACATAGATCAGTGCAGGAACAGAGGGYAGCGCGCTCCGCAGCGAGCAGAACCGTTCGCTCCCCAGAGCCCTGTGCTCTCTGTCGCGATTTAAAGACACGATGGGCTTGAGAGGCAGCTCTCCCCAGGCACCKGCGGCGCCACGCTCCCGTGAAAAGCACCAGGTAGCTTTGCTTTGAATGGAAAGAGGACTGTGGCCAGACGCGTCTCCCAGCGTTCCGTGTCTCTATCCCCRTCTTCCTGCTCGGGGCTTCCCTTGGCTCTGCTGCCTGCTGTAGCAGTAGCACCGTTCAATTCACTTAAGAGAAAAATCCGGCCTCGGCAGCCTCTGAGCTGCCTGCATTGGTTGTCGCGTTGACCGGGATGGAGAGCACGTCCAGGTTTACCCCTGACGCTGCACTTTCCCCCGAGCCGCAGTCTTGCAAAAATAGCAGCTGCCGGCGGGGAGGGCTGCCGAGGGAGGCTCTGCTGCCTTATTCCCTCTAGAAAGTGCATTTTAAGCAGTGAGATATGTAGATGAGGACATAAGTTGCCTGCATTTCTGAGTTTGCTGGCTGTCTGACGTTGAGGCTATCTAGATTTCATGTACGAAGTGGATGAGCAAATGGTTCTTGTATGCGGTTGTGTTGGTTATAGAGCTGCGGAGCGGAGCGGAGGGAGCCGCTGAGCTCCGGCGGGCTTGCTGCCCGCTCCGCGTCACCACCACAGCGCTTTATATGGCCCAGCTCTCTCCCTTGGAATGAAGTCTCCCCTGAAAAAAATAACTGCTCTGAGCGTAGCGGCTAATCCTGGAATATGAGTTGTTCTGTTTAGAATTTTAAATACATATTTTCAGGAACGATGTCCTTTGCCATTAATTAAGTTAGCGCACGTGCTCGAGATACTTGACAGGGCGCTTGCACAATTGAAAGCCCTTAATAACCGTGCCGGGAGCGCGAGGGGGATCAGCCAGACAGCGCTGACCTGTCAGATGGTGTGTACGGTCTGCTGAGTAAATAGGAATGTCGCAGGGTAAAGTCGGTGGCTGCTGCTCGGGGCAGGATTGGTTTCGCACGGATCCGCGGCGCGGTGTCCGTTCCGGAGCACACACAGGTGCCCGGGAGCAGCCTCTCCGTAAGGAATCCGGCTGGCAGGGAGGAAGCTCCGTGGCTGTGCCCGCTGCCCTCCCGCTGCTCCGCCGCCGGCAGCGCCTCCAACCACAGCGTGCGCCTTTCTCAGGCGGAGGAGAAGCGGATGAGGATAAGGAGGGGACAGRGCACGGGCTCGCCCGGCCGCTTTGTTCTTCCAAGGCGTGTGTTGGGCTGGAACCCTCCTCATTTCTGCTGGGAAGGCTGGCAGAGGAGGCCTGCCAGGCAGTCCTTGGAGCCGCTCTTGCTGTGGCCGCGCCGCTTTGTGCGGGCGCCCCGGGGGTGCTGGGGCAGCGGATGGGTTGAGTGGCTCAGGGCAGGCAGGGGGGCTGCCCCGTGTCCCCAAAATCCCTGCGAGGAGCCAAGGGACAGGAGGGACCCTGCGGCCGAGCCCGGCCTCTGCGCAGCGCCTCGCGTGCCCTCAGTGCAGCGTGGGCCTTCAGCTCATGTGCCTTTAGTCACTGGGTTGAAAATTATGGTGTTAATTACAGGGTCGCATAAAAATAAATAAATAATGAAGAAAAGCACTCCAGATTGCAAAGACCAGGCCAGATATCATGCTTCCGTGCCTCTCTGCTTAAGCAGATGGATGATATATAACTGTGCGCCTGCGGCAAAAATAACATCCTTTTCAAGGCTTGTTTGTAAATAAACACGAATTGGAAACTGCTGGGCATTCTTGGATAGCATTGTGGTGCTGGAAAGCCACTCAAGTGACTGGCAGGGTTACGGTTTGTGTCTGATTACTGGGAGCCGTAATTCAGATATGTGTTAGAGGGGACTGTGAGGGAGTCATTCATTGCCTTATCTTAGCTACCACATCGCAGCTGCCTCAAAGTTTGCTGTGTGCGTGCCAAAGATCGTCCTTATCTGCCTATTTCACTTCTCTGGTCATTTTTCTTTGGCTTTTAACCAAGATAAAATTAGCTGGTCTAGCTGGGTGCAGTCTTTGCCCCTTGCTCTCTGTATTTATTATAAATATGAAAGTATTGGGGTTCTGGGCATGAACGGAGTAGCCGGATCTTCACGTGGGATGGGTGTGGATTCGGTGCAAGCGCACTCCAGTTCCTGCAGCTTCAGAGCAGGAGGCTTCACTCTAGGCCAGAGACAACTAATCCGGGGATGTCTCCCACTTTATCCCCTCGAGAGGCCTTTCTTGGGAAGAAGGCAGCATTTCACGGGCCAGGAGGTGTCCTAGACCTTCTGGGAGGCCATTAGGGAGACACAGTGCAGGGGCAGGTGCTTTACGCACGGCCCCAGCGTTCGCCTCCGCACACAAGGGCGCTGGGATCGGGTCGCACGGGAAGAGCCGCGGCTGCAGGTGCTCCCGAGGGCAGCCCCATGGGCACTGCCCCTGTGTCCCGCGGGCCGCGCACGGGTTAAAGCGCCACGGAGCCGCTCGCATGGACCCAAACCAAGGGACAGCCAAATTTGGTTTGTCCCGGGGACCGCAGCCAAAGTTCTTGAGGAAATACTGATGATCCAAGCTCATGGGCACCCACCTTTAAAAGGAAATTCCATCTACTGGGCTGGCTTTATTTTTATACAGTTGCTTGCCTTTGTCCCTCTCTGTTTCCTACAGCCTCTTGAAAACTGARGAACTCACTTTTGTTCCCAAATTGAAAATGGCTGAGAATGGAGAAAACAAAAACCTATTTTAAATCCAGGGTTTTCRAGGCTTCCTCCTGAGAAAGGGAGGCGGCGCTCGTGGCCCCGGCGGCGAGGAGGATCGCGCCGGTGCTCGGCGGCGCCGGCGGCCTGCGTGGGCTCCGCGGCCTCCCCGCCAGCCGCAGCGCGGCGCAGGCAGCGCGCAGCACGGCGTGCAGGCCGGGTTGCCCTCTCGTGGCGGCAGCGCGGAGCTGTGGGTGCCGCGCGCGGGCGCTGCTCCGGGGCCCTCCATCATCCACACCGGGCAGCGCCGCAGCAGGCGCCGTGCTCCATCACACACCTCACTGCCCGAGCGTGGCGGCCGCGAGCCAGCCCTCGTGTCCCGTCGGGAAGGGCTCTGCGAGGCGCGGTGTCCGTGATGTCCCGGCCCTGAGCCGCTCTCTCTCGTGCAGGTGTGCCGGGAGTACCAGCGCGGCAACTGCAACCGGGGCGAGAACGACTGCCGCTTCGCCCACCCCGCCGACAGCGCCATGATCGACACCAACGACAACACCGTCACCGTCTGCATGGATTACATCAAGGGCAGGTGCTCCCGGGAAAAGTGCAAATACTTCCACCCGCCCGCGCACCTGCAAGCCAAGATCAAGGCTGCCCAGTACCAGGTTAACCAGGCCGCCGCTGCGCAGGCAGCAGCCACTGCAGCCGCCATGGTGAGTGCAGAGCACGCGGTGACGCCCCGACACGTTGCAGTGTGCCTCTGTGGTGGAGAGGAGGTGGCTGTGCTTGCCCAGGGCGTGTGGCCGGGTGTCCGCCCGGTCACTGCCGCGGCACGGAGCCGCTTCACCGCGAGGTGTTTCACCGATGGTGCCTGCTGGCGTGTACGCAGTATCCCTGCGTGCATGTGTGTGTGCATAGCTGTGTGTGTGTGTGTGTGTGTGTGTGTGCCCATGGGGCGCATCCCCTGCTCGCACGCCGGGAGAGGCCTCTGCCCCACACGTGGGTCGATGCAGCCCCGCACGGACCAGCCCTACTTGCAGAGAGGCGGTTCCAGACCGACCTCCCGTGTCCCTGAGAGCTGGGCTAAAGCTCCCGCCCGCCGCGGCGCCTGCACGGCCAGGGCCGGCACGGGGCTCCCGCGGCCACCTCGCCACGCCAGGAGCGCCGCTGGCTGCGCCGCTCGCGCCGTGCTCGAGGCCCCGCGCGCTGCTTGGTGCCGGCGCGCGCGGCGTGCATGCCGACTCTCGTGACCCGTTGTATATGGCATTCCGATGATTTGTTTTCTTTTATTTGTTTTTTTTTCTCGCCCCCACCCCCAAACGCACTGCTGCCCCCATGACGCACCTCTGCTTGCTGTTTGTGTTAATGCGCTTGACCCCACTGGCCCATTGCCATCATGTGCTCGCTGCCTGCTAATTAAGACTCAGTCGGCTGTCAAATCACTGAAGCGACCCCTCGAGGCAACCTTTGACCTGGTACTTGGACCTTTCACCTTTTAGCTTGGCATGTAGAGCTGTAGAGGCGCTGCGCCGGGGCGGGCGGCGGGCCGGGCCGCTCGGAGGCGCTGGGCAGCGGCCCTGCCCGCCCGGGGGCTGCGCGGGCGGCGGCGGCACCCGCGTGCTTGGCGCGTTCGCATGCCCAGGGAGGCCCCGGGGTGCCCCTAATCCCCCCGTCCCGCCCCGTCCCGCCCCTCCCGCGCCCCGGCTCCGCCAGGCTCCCATTAACCCGCCGGGCCCCGCCAGCTCCTGCCTGCCCCGCCGCGCGGCCGCCGCTTGCTCGTGCTCAACGTGCTGCTGCCGGGGTGCGGGGCCGCGCTCGGCGGGACCAAACTCACTTTCTCTTCTTCTCTTTCTCATCCTTCTCCCCCTCCCCTTGG